AGGACAATCTTTGATATGAAGACTTTCTATGTTACTCTAAACAGGGGAACAAAGTAATTAATAAAGGTATTCTTGTCGGTTTGGTATTAAATTGACACGTGAGGGGAGATAATGCTTCTGATTTAGCAGGTAATATAGAAACATCAGTGGTGATGTTTGGAAATATCCATGGATGAGAAAAAGCCAAAGTACCTGCCAACAAAATCCAGCATCCCGTCATCCTTTGAGTCAACTACATAAAATCAGTTTTTCAACCACTAGGTTATGATAGTTTTCTAGAAAGCACTCTGTTACACGAGTGATGGGTAAAGTCACTTCGAATGAATTAATTTTGATTAAATGCTAACTACGCAGAATCGTGGTTGAACATCTCAAGCATGCAGTTTGTCAGGAAAGCATGCAATTCAACAAATGAATGATTTTTCACCTGAAAGCTAAGTTTAAACTCAAAATTACTACCTACGTCAAAATGCTCTATATCAAGTTCATAATGGTGCAGTTTTTTCCACGTAAGTTTCAAGCAACTGTGAGAAAATTGTCAGAAAAAAGCAGACCTATATCAGCAGATTGTCATGAAACAACTGGCTCTATATGTACTGGAGCCAGTTGCCAGGGAGATTGCTGGACACAGTCGCACACTGTGCCTCTTTCTGTGCTATATTTTTAGTCTGTCGAGTTGAGTGGAGGTGTTTAGTAGTGAGTGACTGCAGGAAACACCAGTTTTGTCTCCTAGAAGGTACCACGCTTCCAAGCTGTTTTTGCAGTTGTTTCTTTTAATCTTTACCCCATCTTCTTTCTACACAGGCTTTTTCCATGTCAGCTAAGACCACAAGGTTTTGACATGTATTGTGCCGGAAAATACAGTGATTTTACAGCTATAGTTTATATGCCAGTATCAAACTTTCATTCAAAGACTGATGTGCAAACATACATCTGCATTCCTTTATACCTATAGTGTCTCTATATGATTTATATTACAGTATGAAGTGTAAGATGACATCTTTACGCACATAAATTCAGCCAATCTATTCCTCTACATAGGGCTGTTTTACCGTTATCTCCTCTTTAGCTGCGGTTGATCTAGTTCCTTTTTGTTTCTGTCTTTTGACTGTCTGTTAAACATTGAATTTATTGTACTGTATGATTACCATTGTTAACGCCGCTGTTGGTAAACACACTTTTTCCTTTCTCACACTGTGACATCCTGTGTTTTATCAAGGTTTATTGCAAGAGCTGAATATAAAGCTCAATGTTGATTTCTCTAACACTAATCTTTGTAACAAACAGTCTATAGTTGTGTGTAACAGGGCTGTAGCGTAGGTTCAGAACCGAGCATCACTGGGGCCATATGAATGAATCAATCTTATGTGCAGACAGTTTTCCCATTTTTTTAGATTCATTTTGTTTTTCAGGTTTTTGTTATTGTTGTTTTACTTTATTAGAGTTTTTTGTTTGTTTTTTGTCTACTAGCTACACAACACAACAACCACCTCTGTATGTCAGAGTATATTCTGTGTGCTTGGCTTTGACTTCAGATCAGCTATATATACCAGTGTTAACTTCAAAACTGACTTGTGTTTGTTGGCTACCTATCCTTTGCCAATATGAACTGTGATGAAATGTTTTTGTCAGTATTGACTCAATTCCAACCCTAAAGAAACACGTAATAAACCACCTAAAGTGCATTTGAAAACTCATACTAATGCACAGTATGATTCAATGTCACAAAAGCTCTTGCCTAAAACCCCACACTTCTCTGAGTGGTAGTGTGGCTGTTGCTGTCATTACGTGCACCCTGAAATTTTAAAAAAAAAGAAGCTTTTTTCTTAAAATCACCCACGTACAGGTCAACCTATCCAGTACACACACCGGGTGCTTTTTCCCACAGCACTGGTGTACTCACTTCCTTACCATTAAGGCTTGTAACAAAAAAATAAATAAATAAAAAGTCGAGTTTTCATTTGCAAATGCTCAGAAATACATAACTCCTTTTGAGCATTTCCAGGTTGGAGAGCAGAGTTTCTAAAGAGCAACCAGAGTTCTGTTTCTGCCAGTGGGTAAACCAATCACCTTTGACCACCAGACTTAGAAAGCTGCTGTATAATCAGAATATAACGGGCATTGTGCTCGCAGGAATTAAGTGAGAACAGGACAACTTACAGTTCTACGAGCTGCAGATGTTCAAAGATCTGCCAGGACAGCGTGGTCAACATGGGGTTCTTGGACAGGTTTCTAAGGAAGAAAGTGAGAAAGTGACATAGAGTTAAAATCAATGTTCAACATAACAGCAGGAGCTCATTG